TGCCGGTGGGATGATGATGATGATGATAGTTTTGCGCCAATTGAAATACGCCAAGGAATCGTCGTCGTCGTCGTCGTCGTCTTGACAAAGAGAATACGACACTGAACAAAAACGAAGAAGAGAAAGAAAAAGAAAAGAGAAAAGAGGACCTTTGTGGTTTGGTATTTGAGTAATAGATAAACTACCCCTTTCTTCTTCTTCCTCTTCTTCTTTATTTTCTTATTTCCTTTTCTATTTCCAATTAGATTTCCCCGATTCTTTTTTCATACCTTTTTCTTACATGTTTTACAATAATAATAATAATAAAATAATCGAAAGAGAGTAAAAGAAAAACAAATTAATTCAGTGTGATATATTTAAAAACAAAAAAAAAACAAATTTCTGCTACATTAAAAAAATTATTATTAAATGATTTATATATATATATAAAGAATAGAGAGAATGAGTAGTGTCAAATTTGACACGTACAAATGTACGAAAATTTCGTTTTAATATTCCTTAGATCGTAGATAAGAAACCTGGAGTGTTGTATATCCTGTCTTACGCGTTCACGTATACGTTTAATATTCTTAAACTCGATATCACGTAAATCCTTTGTGCAGGTGCGCCGCCTGCATTGGCTGCTGATGGTAATCCAAATGCGAAATACGGTCGGCAGATGTAACTACTACTACTACTAGTACTATTACTACTACTATTACTCTTTTTCTCGATAGGTACTAACTTTTTCTTTTTTTTATTTTTTTTTTTAACATTTCTCTCTCTCTCTCTCTCTCTTTTTCTACCGTAGAGATTTGCTAGTCATTTAAAGGAAATCCGCGAATATTGCCGTGTGCACATGGTGCTGCATGCCGGCAGGAAACTTTCCTTTTACTCAGGAAGGAAATAAAAAGAGAGAGAGAGAGAGAGAGGGAGAGAGAGATATGTTATCTCGAACGTATATTTGACTAGTTACACACACACATATACAAATACACCTATACGGATTTTTAGTTATTCCGTGAATATGTAGACACACACACACACAGACGCATTGATGAGTCGAACGGAGTGCGAAATGGGGAGAATTCGGTCCAATACGATGGAAGGGTTTACTTCCGTTGGACCGTTGGATAAGCCTGCTTTTGTTTCGAAAAAATTCAAGTGAGTCCATGAGGAAAGTATATGTATGTGTATGCGAATGAGGGAGGGAGGGAGGGAGGGAAAGAGAGAGAGAGAGAGAGAGAGAGAGAGAGAGAGAGAGAGAGAGAGAGAAAAAATGCACGTACATTTTTCACTTTTTTTTTTTTATCCCCGTTTTTCTTTCCGTTTTTTTTTTTCTTTTTCCTTTTCTCTTTTTTTCATTTTCGTTTCTTTCAGCATAGCGTTAGTTTGGAATCCTCTAGGTAGATCCTTTATTTTTCTCTCTGACGAGAAAACTCATCGATGAGACGCAAGAACGTGCTGCTTTCATCCTGACCTATTTTTTTTTCTCTTTTTTTTTTTTTTTTTTTTAATGTCTTTTTATTTCTCCTCCTCTCGTGCATAAGAGAAAGTTTTTATTATTATTATTATTATTATTTCAACTGTGTATCTAGATGACTTTTGATATACGTTCAAAAAGACAGAAAAAAAAGACACTCCTACGAATACAAATAAATAGTCATATCGAGTTATATTTTTGGATTTGCATAAATTTACGATCCATGTAAGAATATTTTTCAAAGAGTTGTATGAATCAAAGATTGTGATTTTCTGGTAATATAAAAAGTTTTGGATTGATCCTCGCATACGTGTGAGATTTCTAAAAGTAGATTGCACATGTGTGGCTGGCATATCAAATTAATAATTATTCTTATATCGGAATAATTACAATTTCAAATGATATTTATAAAGGAATTTTCTTTTTTTCTTTTTTGATTGATTGATTGATTGATTGATTGATTTAAATAATTATCAATCAGCTTGTCAAATTTGTCGTAACTCAAATGCAATTAAGTATTCTTTTATATATATCTGTATCCATAAAATTATTGACGTTAATGGGGGAAGGAAAAAATAAGGTTTTTAAATGAATTTTCAAATACATTTGTCAAATATTTCTCCTCTCACTACTCGTTGGACAGGGGACTACTGTTGTTTCTTGTCACAAAATTACAATTTGATATTCATCGTGTCGCAGCTTTTTCCATTCCCATTAACACGATACGATGTTACTCTTTAGTGACGTTTTAATAGCGTAGATTTTCAGTTAGGGTAGGTAGGTAGGTAGGATCTTCTAGGTTATAGTGATAATGCTTGCCCGTCTCGAAGGAGCCACCTATAAAACGAGCTATTAGCAGGAAAACGAGAAGGAAGGAACGAAGGGAAGAAAAGGGAACGATGAAATAAATCGTTTTATTCTCGATCGATTCTTCACTTATCACTATTATCATTAACGTCTTCGACAGAGCTCTTTATCGTTCTCGGATAACCTTGAATAATTAATCCTAAAATCTTTCCGTAATTTCTTAGATAATAACAATATCCACCTCTCTCTCTCTTTCTCTCTTTCTCTCTAATTTCGTTCACTCCGTTTACTTGATTTTCTCGATTGAATTCTTTTCAAAATAATTCAATAAAATAAATGGTACACTTCATGTATACCTATTCCTACCGTGATTGGTTAAATGATTACTTAAAAGAAAACCATATATTCTAACTTAGAATATGATTTTAATCACAATTGAATATTAAATAATGTATATATATATATATATTTTTTCTTTTTTCCAGAAGATAATATCAATTCGACTACACGTTAGAAACTATAAACTACAATGAGTTTATGCTAATTCTCGATAAAAAGAAGAATAGAATATATACATACATACATATATACATAAATACATATATACATACATAGATTCGTATATACGAAACGATGCGAGAACTGTTCGTAAAAACGAAAGTTAAGCTGTGAAAAGAGGAGGGCTATGCCGATGACGATGATGCTATGTTATGCTCGTTGTTTTTTATTTTTTATTATTTTTCGTAAAGGGAAGAGAAAAAAAAAAAAAGTTGAAAGGAAAAGTTTTCCATTCCTTCCTTTTCCTAGTACTTACCTATCTACCTATCTAGCAACTTTCCACGTTAAAGAGAGCTTAGCAAAACTGGAATTGTCGGCGGACGTTTTGTTTCGCAGCGTTGCGTTTATGCGTTATATTATGAATATTACCTTTCTTTTCTTTTCCTTTTAATTTTTTTTTCTTCTCTCTCTCTCTCTCTCTCTATTCCATTTTCTCTTGCTTTCTTTTCCACGAAGTGTTGTAAAGTAAAAGATTATCGATTAAAATTATTATCCTAATAAGATTAGAATTAATTAGCCTTACGCGAATGCATAACTGATATCATCTCATCTTCTTGGATTTTATTACGGAACTCATTTCTAAAATTTCCCGTATAACTTTTTGCAATTTGTACAATCCCTATGGACATATAACAATAACAACAAAAATTGCATATTCATTGCACCGAAACTAACTATCCTTCCTTTGAGATATACGCGTACTCGAGGATCCGTGACAAAGAATTCATTTTCTAACGTGATAATATATTCCTTTTTATTTTTGGATAAGGAAATTTCTTCTTTCATATCATTCTATTATATAAAACTTTGATCATCTATTTATTATCATTATTATCGTTCGTTTTTATTTTTAATTTTAGGATCTAAAGTGTTGTCAGTTCGATTAATTTTTAAAATCTTCACAAAATTAGCATCGTTTTTTTATTATTTACGATTACGAGTGTTAATTTATAAACAAATGTTTTTCGTATCTAATTCTTACATCGTTCTTATTTTTGTTTTGATTTTAAAAGATCAACAAAAGATCGATTGCTTTTTCACATATATATATACATAAAAAACTTAATAAGAAAAACACACACCTTGATATAAATATCATCATTCCGTTTCGAGACGGAGATTCGGAAGGAACGTTCATCGGTTGTGTGTGTGTGTGTTTGTATTTTAACTTAAAAGGTAAGAAAACGTTTGACACATTCGACCAATAAATAATATTACAGGATTCAATTAATGAAATAACGGAAAATAGGAAACAACATTTATTTTGAGGATTGTGATTAAAAGGGTGCGGTATGTATTTTTTTTGATTAAATTCCAATTGACGAACGCAAAGACCCAGCCAACCACGAGGAAGTAATGCAACGTCATAGTCACAGTCATAGTCGTCGTACCTTTTTGTTGTTAATGAAACATCAAAGGAGAAATCTTCGTGAACGCGTTCGAAATTGATTAGCGAGAACGTTTCCCAGAGACTCTAACGAAAACGCTAGTCAACGAGCTAGCTTTTCAACCCCCTTCACCCCTTCTCATCCCCTTCAAGCTTCGCTATGATACCAAACGTTAACTCAGTTTCTTTGTAAAACATTTAACATCGTTTCTACTTTTTACGTATTATTTTGTAACGTTTCGTATCAAAGAATATATATAATCGTATCGATTAATTTCAACTTTGATTTTAATTATAAACGTTTCTACGAATTTATCAAGCTAGTAATCATTTTTCTGGTTTCTTTTTATATTAAAATTCCGCGCGGAGAATAATCTTTTTGTTAGAAAATATATTAATATTATTTGTTTTTGTATACAATTATTTTATTACATATTATTATTGGTTATTTATTATTTATGAATTTAAATGATACAAGCCTTTGAGAAAATTCGATTAAAACCAAAAACAAATATTGGTATTTTATTATAATAAAAGAAAATATATCTGATATTGCTAATTACTGTCAATTTTACAGTCAAAATGTATTAAGACTTTTTCATATCATTTTGCAGAAGATAATCCAGTATTAAATGAACTATTATCTGCATTTTAGATTCAAACAAAATATCGAATATGTCGATATTAATAAATACATTTAAAAAGAACAAAATTGTCTCGATAATTGTTTATATATAATATATGATAAAATAAATTAAATATTACATTTGCTTTGTGTTGTTACAGCTGGAGCCGCTTCTGAGGAAATTAACCAAAGGACCAGTTCTGCACACAATCGCCACTCTCTCACGAAGGGTAAGCCAATTGTATTTACTTTTCATTGAAAATAATGCTTGAAAAACAATAATCACATTTACGATTATAATTCGTTTTCTTTCAATTTTTCTTTTCATCGATTACCATTCGGCTTCTCTCTCTTTCTCTTTCTCTCTTTCTCTCTTTCTCTCTTTCTCTCTCATTAGAATTTTTGTTCGCTACAATTTCTTTCTAACTTTTGTATAATTATTTTTTATTATTTCTTATTATTAATATTATTATTATTATTAGATATTCGTTGTTTCTTAATTTAAATTTTTTCGTACTCGGCACTTACGTTTCATGCACGAGCACAAACGTTGTCGTTAGATAATTTTATAAAGTATTTTAGCTTACACCCCCTATATATATATATACATACCTAACCTGCTTGCAAATGTTATAAATGTATATTATTTTGTCCCATGGATTTTAATTTATATAGTACCATTATCTTGAAAAATATCTTCTCGTAAAAGAAAATGATATACGGTATATAAGAGAAAAACATTTATAAAAGAGATAGATAATTTTCAAATGAACTTAAAATGAAAATGGTAGAATGATAAGTCGAAGAAATGTATACTTCTTCTCGCCTGTTACAAATTTTCAACAATCTTATCAACACATTACCATCCGGAGACATAAAAATATGTTTTTTTTTCTCTCTTGACTGATCGTAAAATACCGGAAACATATATTTTGTACACGTTGTGCATTAACATCGAGCGAACCTACCACCTGAAATCAAATGACAATTTAGGTTTAATTGTTAAATATTGTCGGATCTATTAAAATGTTCTACAACATATATATTGTAAAGTTTAATTGAATAATTTTTTTTTCTTTTAAAGTGATACAACGTAAAATCGGAAATATTTCAACATTAAACCCTACCAACTATCCTAATATATCATAGAATGAGATTTTAGTCGATTGGTTAGCAAAGAAAATATTTTCTTTTTATTTATTAATAAATAATGTAAATTTTATAACATTTTTATTCTTTTCTTTTTTTTTTTACAAATTATAGGACGCCGGTCGTGTTAAACTTAATGCTGGTAGGAGGTTTAGTTTTGAAATATGCAAGCCGAATGCAAAATTTGTTCGTGCAAACTGCTTTCTGGACTGGAACCCTCTACCCTTCACCTTCCACCCCCTTACTCCGCGTAATGTATTAAGAATTTTTCAAAAGAATAATCACAGCCCATATTATTACATCTCTCACGTTTTTTTCTTTCCTTCGAATCGTAAAATACCCGCGAGCTGGAAAACACACGCACAATACATACACACCCGTGCGAACAATCTCAACAGAAGAAAAGAAATGGATGGTGGGGGGCTGGGGCGGGGGCAGTGGCGGAGAAGGACGAAGGAAAAGTTTTCTCTCCTTTTTACCTTTCCATTGTTTTCCTTCGACACTTCTAGAAATAGGTAGAAGAACTACGAGAAGGCACCAAAACCTAGAGGAAAGTTGCGAAAGATCGTTTTAGTTTGCGGAAAATTTCTCAAGCTAACACCACCCCATCGTCGAACCTGTTCTTTCTTTTTCTTTTTTCCTTTTTCTCTCTCTCTTTCTTTCTTTGTTCCGTTAATGAGTCGAGTTAATTTCCCATAGATCACAGTAGTATGTTCATTGTCTAGTTCAGTGATAGAAGTTCACTTTCCAGTAAAGATGTTCTATTTCTTAAAAAAAAAAAACCACTTTGCTTGCTTAACGCTTTCGCTACCGGTAATTTTCTATTTCATTTATTCACCTAGCACTTTTAACAATTCGTTTTTTTTTTTGTTGGAGACAATTGGAAGCATAAATAATTAACTACGTATGGATACAGATATTTTTTAATTTCGTCTCAGAATCATTCGTTTGTGACAAATGTTGTATATTCTATTATTATATTACAATATATATCATAGATTTAGATTTATTTTAATTTATATTGAAAAAACAGAAACAACCTCTCAAAAATTGTACAAATATTCCAATATATTATTAATCGACAGATCAAAGGGGGTATAAGGGATGGGGAAAAAAAGAAGAAAGATTTTCCTATGGTTGTTTTAAAAATACAAAGATGAATGAAAAAAGGAAAAATATTATTGGGCACGTTATCTCGAAGAGTTAAGAGAGTGGGTGTATTATACATCACCACTATCACCACCACCACCACCACCCACTTCAAGGGAAAAGAAAAGGGAATGGTTATTGTGTTCGAAGCTGTCGCGCAATCGACAATGACCATTGAGTTTTCCCTTCTCATTAAAATTCTATTTCGAGCGTGCAAACCTGCGAAAACAGATGAAAAGACTGGACTCTCATTGTTTTTCGACCCACTTTCAAGGCGACGAAGATTAACGGGAGCCTACACGTGTATTACTCTTTCTCTCTCTTTCTCTCTTATTATTTTTTTTCTTTTCTTTCTTTCTTTTTCTTTCTCTTTCTTCGTCGTAGTTCTTCATTGAGAGCCCTCGGCTTCTTTCCTCCCCCACCCCTCCGCCCAACTCCACCCCCACAGTTCTACGATAATTTGAACCGGACTGACAAAGAAAATACCGACTACTACTACTACTACTACTACTACTATCTATGCGAATGATAAAAACTAAGAACAACCCCCATCTAAGTATAAAAAAAAAAATAAATCACTATGATAAAGTATGCGAGGATATAAAGATTTTGATAAAGATTCCTTTCTCTCAATTATAATTATATGGAGTATAATCAAATAAATATTAATTAATCGAACAAATTGTGAAAAAATAAACGAATCGATTTTTACATTTTTACTGTGTCATCCCCCCCCCCCTTTTCTTTTTTATTTCGAATTTATTCAATCCGATTTGATTACATTTTTTGAAATTGAATATCCATTTAAAAGAACGAAAATGAACTTTTAATGCATGTATATTATATTTCATATATTATTATTCAAGATTAATATTTGGATTTGGACATTCATTAAATGGGAAAAACAATAGAATGAGAGTCCGTGTTTATTTTTTTTTTTTTTTTAAAAAAAGGGTAAAGGAAAGAAATGAAAATCTTCTTGTATATTCCCTTTTGATGACTGATTTCTATTCCGCAGAAGAAACAATGCATTGGTTCGCTCAGATAGGAGGCGACGGTGGTGATACTAATCATTTTCCAGATAATCATCGGAACGGTAAATAAACACATCATATATATCGCATAACAAGGTTGTGTGCGTTTTACCGATGCGAGAATAATTTAAACAACTGCACGTAATTTCATTACCATGCGTAATTTCGTAAACGAGATTAACAACAATCGCAACGTTTGAATTCGTAATATCAATATTTGTTGTTTTTGTTTTTTTTTTTTCTTTTTCTTCTTTTGGTTTTATTTTGCATTATATCTATCTTATTTATTGATTACCATTGAACGTTTACTTTTTCTTTTATCGTGATACGTTTGAATAAAATTTCCTCACACCCTTCCACACCCGTGTGTGGCTTCGAATACGACGACACATAATGATGGCATATATTAATTATAATAATAATAATAATAATAATACACACAACACAACGCGATAATATGATTTGTTATTGACTACAAGTGTGTGGCGTGTGTGTGATTGTGTGCTTAACAAATTGAAGCTAACCTTTTGATTGATTTAACGTGTAAACTCAATATCAGTTTCGTTATTGCATACATATGTGTACATGCATAACCCTCTAAAACAACGAACAACCAATTTCGAATGTACGTTCGTCGTGTTGATGATAATCAAAATGACCAAAGTGAATGACGTTTACGTTGTACCTTAGAACTGAATTTCATTCAATAGGGTTAAGGCATGGTGTGTGAGTGTGTGTGTCGAACGACAAAACGATTAAAGCAAAGATTAATTATTACTGAAAAGATTTACCAACACGATTCATATAGAAAATTTTTCATCGATTTAACATTTAAATTTATGTACAATGATATGGGGAAAAAACGATTGAAGAGAATGATCTGCCAGTTGAATTAAAAAACAAAACAAAAAATTGATAATAAATTCGAACCTTTCTTACAAAAGTAATTGCATAATATTATTATTATTTTATAATGCATTCGCGAGAATAACATATATAAAATATTGACGATTAATAAGAAAAAAAAAACAAAATATTAAATTTAAATATTCGTTTATAATATTCCCAATATATTTAATATTATTTTAAAAATTATAATTTAAAATCCGTGAGAGAAAACCACGTTTGTGCTTATTGCATATGAACGATGCGTCTGTTGTGTTGTTGTTGTTGTTGTTAGCGAGCATGCATGCTTAAATTTTGCATTATAGAAAATAATAAAACAAACAAACAGTAATAGTAATAGTAAAAAAAACAACAAGAAGAAATGTTCAAAGAAACGAAGAACCAACAAGCAAGAACAATGAACAATAAACAGATATATCACCAACCAACAACGAAACAACCAATAAAAACAACAATAATAATAATATAATAATAATAATGTCTTGTTGGTGAATATGTGTGTAAGAATATTTCTCACGTGCTTTCGCACATATTTCTCCCTTTCTTCTCGGCAGATGTGAAGCGCCGCCGAAGTCTCTACGACGAGGACTCCCTCGACGATGATCGTCTTGACGAGAACGAAGGTATCACGTTTACAAAAGGGCTTCCTATTACTGCGTTCAACAAACACGTGTCTCGTGTATTTCTTTCTTCTTCCCTAGTTTCTTTTTTATTTTTCCAGCTGTAATTTCAAATAATCAAATCCATCGTCCGTGTCCTGTTTTTCTTATTTTTTTTTTTTATTATTTTTTTTTTTTTTATATGTATTTTTTATCTGTTTCTATATGTTTGTTGTCTCCGTTACGTGTCTCTCTCTCTCTCTCTATCTCTATCTATCTATCTTTGTCTTAATTTTTTAATATAAAAATTAAACTAAAAAGAAGCTTTTTTCTTTTTTTTTTTTATATATTTCTTTTGATTCAATTGCTGTTACCGATTCACGAATCCTTCGCGAGAGTGCTCGTGCTTGTCATCGCACTATCAATCATAATTTCTTCTTCTTTTTTTTTGTTTTTTTTTTTCTTACTCTCTTTTCTCTCTTTCTATTTTTTCTCTCTGTCTCTTCGTTTCTATGTTTCTCTTTCTCTTATTATATATCTGCATCGTACTTTATATCTCTGTATATATGTAGTCTAGCTATGAGAATTATTGACGAAAAGGGGTTGCGTCAAAAAGGGGTAGGGTGGGTTCGTGGGAAGGGGTAGTTCGAAGCGTATTATTTATCCGGTTCTCGCGACGTCGACTAATTTTCATCGTTTGCTTACGGTCGAGAGAATTTATTTATATGTATATATNGTAGTTAACGCATTCGAAAGTATAATAATTTTCAACAATCATTTTCATGGAAACATGGGATACAGTAATATATATATATATATATATGTACGTATACATATACGCGTATATTTACAATGATGTGCATGACATATGGAACAAATTAGTGGACAACGGGTCGGTCTACAAATACGCGAAATTTACAGCTGCGTGACGAAATGTTATTAATACAATAAAAATAAAAATATATCGTGTAGATTTTAATTTTTTTTTTTTTTTTAGGAGATTTTCTTTTTTTATTTGACATTAACACGTTGAATGCAATGAAGGGAAAGAGTCAAACAGCAGGTGGTGACTTGGATGAAATTTAAAATTATTATTAACACGTAATTTTAATAAATTTGATAATAAAATAGATTATTGATTTTCCGTGAAGAAATTAACACGTGTCAGATTAAAACACTTTAAACAAAATAAAAATGAATCTGTACCGCGAATTGTATACTATCTCAAGATTTTGTTAATCTAGTCAAAAGAAAATAAAAAAAAATATATTACATCGTTGTTAAAGGAAAAAGGAATGACCCATCCTCTAGTAAAAACAAAATAAATGCATTGCACACGATTACGCGTATTTAAAACTTATCTCATTCTCTATCTAAACAATAAGAAACAAAAATTCGCGTTGACATTAAAAGTGTTAAATTATCTATTAGCCATTCAACGTGTTAAAATCGTGGTTGTTGGAATAATCGATCGTTAAAAGGAAAGTAATAATATACAAAAAATTCTCCTTTAACAATTAAAACGTCTTCGTCGTGTTAAACACGTGTGTTATCGTATACGTGGGCGTGCGTTGCGTGTACGTGTGATGTTGTTGAGCGTGGGATGATTTAATTGTATGTACCTCTATGTGTGTTTTTTCTTTTTTTTTTTTTACGAGTGTATGGCGGAAGCGAATGAATGAATGAATGAATGAAATTAATAAAAGAAAAAAAAAAGTAAAAGGATGTATCGATAATTATAAATAAATTGTTGACAGCACGAGACTCGACGGGAAGCGCTAAAGATGTTGACAGGGCGAGGCTTGTCCGTGAAAGGCAGAACGAAGAACGACAACGGAAACTGGAAGAGCTGAGACAGCAAGCACTTGCTGCTCAACGTTTTCGAGAACAGCGAGAGGAAGAACGTCGAAAACGTATCGATGAGCTGAGGTCACGAGACAATGATAGGTTTGTCTCTTTTAACATCAATTTATTTATTATATTTTTTCGAGGGTTGGGCTGGGGGTTTGTTTTTTTCGAACTCTTATACTTTATCCAGTTGATTTTTGATAAGAGTTTTACTAGACGATTGAATGATTGAAAAGAGGATATAGGGATTACAAATGAAATTTTTTTTTGTCTTTCAATAATAATTTATTTATTTATTTATTTATTTATTTATTTATTTATTGAACTCCTATACTTTATCCAGTTGATTCAGTTATTCGGAAGAAACTTTGTTCATTTCTTAATTGAATGATTGAAAATGAAAAGGAATTACAAATTAAATCTGTTAAAATTATTAAATTGAAAATCAAACAATTATTAATATGCAGTTATTAGTTTATGTTATAACGATTTTCATACTTTTGTTTTTCTTTATTATTATTATTATTTTTTTCTTATAAGCAAATTGGGGTGATACCTGTTGAATATAAAGATTTATTTAAAATAAGATAGAACTCTCAGATTCTTGATCATTTTTTTCAATACCTTATTTTTACATTTTTCATCAAACGAATTGGTGGGTGTGTGTGTGTATCTTTCTTTATTCGTTTGCTCGAGTGTTTTAAGTGAACGAAAGAGAAGTTAAGAGAAACATAAAAAATATGTGATCAAAGTAATAGTATAGATATCGATGATGTTGTATCGTTAGGTGTTCTCGTGATGTAAATTAGAAAATTGCGCGCACGCCGCGAATATCGCATAAATAATAGTGTCACCTTAGGTAGTAGGACCCGTGTAAAATCAGTATAGCTCAGCGTGTTTTAACGATGCATTATGAGATTATAAGCTCAACGTGGTTATAAGTTTGACCTCGTTAGCGTGACATCATTCTAAACTGTTTTACCGTCGTGGAGAGAAGCCCAGTAAATTACCGCAAACTCTTCCGTTGCTACTTATATAAAATTTTAAGGATACGCACATGCGCATATGTAATTAAGAAAATATCAATATTATTTAAAAAAAAAAAAAAAACAAATTTAACGATTACCAAAACGATGATAATGTTAACAGGCTTTTATTTTATTTTACAATAAAATATAAATATACGTTAATGACACAATCTAATATTATTTATTTAATATACAAAAATATATGTATAGAATCCTTATAATAAAATAACACACACATACACAACGAGGTAATAATATACGTATCTCATTTATATATTTTATTCGTGGTTATTTGCATCATTTTATTATCCTTATTCTTCTTCTTTTTGTTAGTTTGTTTGTTTGTTCAATTTAATGATAATTTTAGACGGAACCAGGTAGAAGAAAGGAAACGTTTAATATGCGAGGCAGAACGAGAAAGGCGGGAGGCAATCCTCCGAAAAAATCAGGAAAGGGAGGCACGTATCGAAGCAAAGAAGAAGAACGAAAGATCCCACATAGTTTTTGCGTTTGGCAGTTCGACACCGAGGATGCTGGAACCAGCCGACACAGGTGGTTCAACTTTCTGGGGTACGCGAAGGGCCACTTCGACCACCAACGTCATGATGTTTTCAGCTGCTCAACCTTTGACCAGGAGATCCTCCGAGAGGGAACTCGATGGCAGCAAGAAACGAGCCACTTCTGCAGGTGGATTGGACAGAAAACCCGGCGAAGGTGAGCAACACAATTATAATCGAACTAACAATAATTATTTTATTTGCGCACGCAATTATTATTATTATTTCTTTTTCTCCTTCTATATTACGTACACTTATTATATTATTATACAAAGTATCCGAAATAATAATAATAATATATATATTTCTTCGCGTGACGTATGAAATATTCAAATTAAATGTTTTTTTGTTTGTTTATAACAAATTATGCATTTGCAATTGACGGACAAATATTTGCAACAACGTCAATGAAATTTGTCTTTTATTTTTCTCTTTCATGAAATATGAATTACGTATATGTTATAACGAGTTTGTTATCGTTAATACTGAAATTTATACTTCGAAACATATTATTTTCCTTTTAACATTATCAATTATTAAGTTGACGTTAAGTATTCTTATTGTTTGTAATTAGATCACAAGGTTTAAGTAATCAAATATCATTTTCTTTTTAATATTCGTTCATTTTAATGAATTTCAATATATATATATATATATATATATATATACAAACGAATTGGTGAATGGCAAACTCGTTTCAACACAGATTTCATCCATATTTCATGCAGTAATAAAAACGAAATAAAACATAGGCATGTTCAATCAAAAAAAAAAAAGAAAAAATTAAATTAAAAAAGACGTTGTCTATCGTAGTAGTTGTTCTTGTCGGCTGATCAAAATATTCTATTCATCTTTGGGAAAAACAAAAACATAATTCGCTAAGTTTAATATTTCGCATACAGCAAGAAAAAAAAAACAAATTATTTTGGACACCTTGTAGATATTATAATTATCGAACAATTTTCTTTACATACGTTTTTTTATACGTTGCCCACATAAAAAATGTCATTGCAAAAATAAACGAATTCACGTTTTATTATACAGAGGTGTGTGTTCTCAGTTATCGTATCACGATAACAAAATAGAAATATCAGTAAATGTTATTTTACAATTTGAATTTATTTTTATTTATTTATTTTGGTTCGAAAAAAGGAGGACCGACAATTCCCATTTTTTTGTATACCTTCGATAAATAATAATCCAACTGTGACGAACAGTTTATTTCTGCAGAACTTCTGTCCAATCCATCTGCAGAACTTTTTATTCAAAAAGATATAAAAACAAAAAATAATAAAAAAAAAAAAAAAAAAAAAAAACACATAGTTACGAACTAAATAAGAGTATTTCTCATATTTTAATTATTATATATTCACAAAATGAGAAAAATGAAAAAAAAAAAAAATAATAATAAAGGATTCTCTCTTTCGGATCGAAGCATTTAATTTTGATAGTGAATTTAATCGATTAATAATTATATCAATAATATACATGCATACACACGTATTAACACAATCGTGCTATATATGATCAATGTTTGTATGCAAGAATGTTGTCTCTCTGTGCTCTAGTTCTAGACCAAGTGTTGTTACTATATAATACAATTGTATTTTCTCGGTTAGATACAGCGACTGCTATATTATTTTCTATAAATAAAATAATCAATTTTTCTCTTCAGCTTTTTTCCGCGCGTCAGTGTCATCCAATTGATAATTTTTCTTCGAAATGTTTATAATAGTTTCTTATTAGTCGCTGTATCTGTCGTTAAAATTCGAAGACAAGGAAAAAACAATTAAAAAAAAAATAATTATATAAATATCACACATAGAGATTAGTGTCGCTTAATTTTAGTCGTTGCTTTTAATTACACACACTCCTCGTCGTACTTCGTTTTCGTCATCGTCGTCGTCGTCGTCGTCGTCGTCGTCGTTCGCTTGTAGAACTTTCTATCGTTTCTTATTCTTTTTTTCTATTAGAAATTCTACATACGAATCCTGCATCGCGTTAAGCATGTATTTACAAGTTACACGCACTTACAATTCGTTTAGAATAAATACACTTAAAGTATTGAAATTTTGTCGTTATATATATAGAGAATTTTCTATCGCATCTTCTGTTCACGATTTTTCATTTTTTATCGTCACATTTGTTGTTCTTGTTGTTGTTGTTGTTATTATTATTCTCGATATCACAGATATAATATATGAAAGTTTTACAAAAAACAAAGAAACATTAATATAATCAATAATATGCATATCACTATCAATCATAAATGTAACAAATCCGTAAGAATGAATTCGATCACATGTCTATCGCTTTAAATCGCAAGTTGGTTGGAACGCTTTTATTAGATGCAAACAATTTATTCGTTTTATTTATAAATTATTTTTTGATTTTATATATCGTATCTTTTTATTAATTTAACCTTTTATCGAGATCTTAATCACTTCTTCACAAAGTTTCATATTATCACGCTTTTATCCAATGTCTATCAAAGAATAGTACTATCTGGAAACAACAGCACACAAGTTTGTTTCATTTGTATAATTGTATCCACGTTGCTTGATTTTAATCATTTGATGGGGGAGAAGTGGTAATCAAACGTTTTTGATTTTTATTGGTTTTTTTTTTTTTTTAATTTCCTATTGGTGTATTGTATATTAACGGATTAAAACAAATTAATCCAATTTTATGAATCTTACTATAAATGTACAACTGATTAATTATTTTTGTATATTATTTTTTCAATTATTTTAACTTCTTCTTCTTCTTCTTCGTTTTCGTTATAATAATCGTAATTAAAAAGTTTAAAAAAATAAAAGGAAACATTTATTAATCGATAAAATATTATAATCGCAATTTTTTTTCGAATATAGTTTCTCACGATTCACGTTGGTGTTTCACTAACACACATACGTACGTATAGATTTCTAATAGAAACGTGTGTTAGATTTTTTAAAGGAATTACTTCTTCTTATACGATAAATATCGTGATCGTTCGCGCGAACTGTTCGATAAAAATGAACGATTATTTCCGCGTTGTTTCAAAAATACCATTCGCATTCCTTTTCTTTCGAATGACATGGGGGGGGGGGGGAGTAAAGATTAGAAAATAATAGAACGAATAAATGAAAAAAAAAACTTTCTTATTAGATATAACTATCTAACATCATTCATGGTATTTACACGTTTATAAAAATTCATATATAAATACATACCACCATCTGTTAGACGTTTTTCTTTTTTTTTTTTGCGATATTTCTTTTCAATTTTTACGTATATACTCGTGATTAGTATTTTTTTTTTTATACGTTTAATAGATAATTACGAAACAGTGAAATAACGTTTAGCTATGAATTTAGAGTAGAATTTAGAAATTTGTTTCGTTATACAACACAACCTCTATTGTATATGTGGCAAGTAATTCAAGTAACCAGACCAAATTAATAGCCCTTTCCCTATGGTATAATAGAAGAAATAAAATGGTGTGTACGGTTTGCCAGCCCCTAGGAGAGAACTAACTTTTTACGATTCTTATTTTGTTTCCCCCTGCAAATAATTTTCTTTCACGCGATACGGTTATATTTGTTTTATGTCAGTTTGTTTTTTTTTTTTTTTTTTTTTTTTAAATATAACATTATTTCACATTAGATTAAATTCGTGAAACTAACGTAAGAAAAAGTATGAGTCATTGGAAATGTATCAATTAACTAACGACAAATTATACAATAATTTCTTTCAGTTATTATTTTTATTTTTTTATCTTTCGTTAAAACCGTGTCAATTAAAAAATATTAGTTTGACTACTCAGTCAGCTAGTTAGCGTAATAACTACTTTATGCGTTTAGAATTTCTCATGAAAATTTTATTTGTACAACACACCTTTAACTCATACTAATATTACACTATAAGCTAAAAGATTCCCCCCCCCCCCAGTTCAAAGTTTAGACATATGGGTGTTGTAACGAGAGGAGGCTGAGTTCGCGTAATTGTTTCGTAAACGGTTCCCAGACGCGAGAACGTTCTCCGTTAACGTTTTAAAAGAGATTTATGGGAAAGGATAAAACGTTTGATGGAACTTTAAAAAGACAGATAAAGAGTATAATAATTAACGATATATTAGAAGCTAGCTTTAGCGATCTACAATCTTCTTTTGCTAATTGCCTAATTATCTATACACTTATTTTCATTAAGTGGTGATGGGTTCTTACGATTTGACACGTAATACATACAAAAAATATTTGTACACTACGTTATAAACTTTTGCGATTATATATTTCAATTGTTTACAGTATCAATCATTTTGATGCTATACTCTCTTATAACAAGTTATATAAATATATTTATCAAAATCAATTAATGATCATTATAATATATTTGAAAGAACAACCATAGTTTAATTGCTTTACAAACAATCATAATACGATACAATGAAATTGTTCGCGTATCGTATAACGTTTAAATATATATTTTTTTTCCGAATCACTGTACATATTAATATATTTACAATATTTAAATATCACCGTATATCTGAATCGAATTATTATGTAAATTAAATTACGTAATTAAAACCGAAGTATTACGTGTTGTCAGTAAATATAATATCATTTATATGTACATACATATATTTCATTTTTTTTCGCTATTATTACTACTGCTACTGCTCTATTACTACACTACTACTACTACTACTACTCTACTATTCTTCGCGAGAGAGTCGTTGGAAGTAAAGCTAATGTTCCAGAGTTGGATGATTTGTTTGCAGATATGAGAATGTCCTCGTCCATGTACGAGGTGTTCAATTGGAATTCTAGCCCCGATCCTCCCTTAACTCCTGGCAAACATAAGAGAGCCAGCCTCTCTCTTCCTCCTACTACAGACATCTTTGCCATCGATGATAAGTCTGATAGCGATACTAGGCGTCCAATGATTCAGCGGGCTGTCAGTGGTGAGTCCTGAAGCCGGAAGTCTGCGACACACGGGAAAATATATACGCTCTTTCTATTTATTTCACTTTCTCTATCTATCTCTATCTATCTATCTATCTCTATCTCTATCTATTATCTATTTCTGTTATGTACTCTGATTGATTTGCCGATCCTTGTCTGTCCAACCACTTATTAACACTCGCTCGTTCGATTGTCTCCCGCAGTTATTATTGTTAGTACGAATATATTTATTATACGTACGTGTATACACTTCAGTCAGCATGTGTTCGTTTTATTATTATTTTCTGCAAACTCATACTCACACACACATACATACACATATATATTATATATATATATATATATATAGATTGATAGATAAGCGATATAAATGATAATTGAGTTTTTCTTTATCTTCATATTTCATTATCATTTATATTATTAATGCAAGTATGTTATTTTTTAATCAATGGTCTGTAATTTCCATTCAAATTTTACACCTACCACGTATAAAACATTACTATAGAGTGATTCATAAAGTATATTGAAGATATCGAATATTTAAAAGAAATGTATGAAGGATTTTAAGTTGAATTTTTTGTAATCATTTGATCATCAATTGATTTTTCTTATATTGTTGTTGTTTTAAATATAACATTAACATTAGATTTACAGACCGTGCTAATTAAACTCATTTCAAATGTTTATACTTAAATATTATTTTTCTCAAAAATATATGACTGATTTTGAATACCGTAATGAAATATACGTAAATAATGGTTCCTCATCTTTACCCCCACTTCTATATTGAAACAATGTTTTGAAAAAAAGAAAAAAGATATTGAACAAAATATTCTCGTAAATCTAATGTTAAAGAAACATTTGAAGAGTTTATATTAATATTTAAGATTAGTTCGTATAAATAGTAGGGTCAGATTTGATTTTTCATTATTATAAATCGTCGTTTTGTACGGCGCGTTCATGTTGCTATGCTGCGCATTGCACGACGCTTAGGAGGAAGGTATAGCAAATTCCGTTGTCGGTGTGTGAGGATTGATCGCTCGCTTTGGTATTGCTGGTGGTGCTTGCTGCCTGCTGGTGCTTTCTTCTTCTCTTTACCTTGTACGCATGTGGCTTTCGATTGCACCACGGACAACAGAACGGGCTGACGTTAGAATAATAAAATTGCTTGTGGACGACGGTGAGTCGCGCGCTAGAGCTGAAGTATCGATTAATGTGTGGGATGTACACCGCCGTTTGCTAGCCAACGACGACGATGACGACGACGATGACGACGACGACGACAACGACGACGACGACGACGACGACGACGACTAATACTACTATTCCTCCTTTGACAACCGAGAGACTTTCTTTCGTACGTGTATTGAACACACAACACGTACTCTTCTACCTAGTCGCTTTATATTGCTTGTCGCGAGAAGGATTATATTGCGTGAACGTTGTTGTATAGAAGTAAAGTAAATCGTAGCATGATAAGAAGAAGAAATTTGATGATTGTTGTTATTGTTGTTGTTATTGTTGTCTCTATCTTTGTGTGAGTATCTATCAACGAACGTATTTTCTCTCTGTGAATTTTATTTCTCATTATATAGATTTATTGTTTCGTTTCTTATATTACTTTCAATCTCACACGAACGATAAAATCAAATCGGTATAATCCTAAAACTACCCTCGAATTGATCGTTTTATAAAATGTTTAATAAATATCCCGTCATTGAAGAATCAATCGAATTATTCATCTCTTGTTTTTGGTTACCCCTTTCTTTGATATCGAATTACATTTTATTAAAAGATTATTTTGAATAATCAATATATATATACTGAGTTAATATTGTAATGTTTTAGGTGAGGATAGTGACGGAACACCAGGAACACCAAGTTCGGTCTATCTTCGAGTGAACAGGAGACGTACCGACCTGATGCCGACGATACCGTCCCCCCGTGATGGACCACCAACGTCAGGACGTAGCTCATCGGCCAAGGCCTTCGCACGTTCCCCAGGTAGGACTTACTCGATGTCGAGACTGGACCAGTTATCTCAGCCTAGGAAACGTCCGACAGAGCTTAGTACATTGACGGAACAGCAAAGTCAGCCTCTCAGTGGTTCAAGCATGAGTCGCAGCATGTCGCATTTGGCTGCTGCTGCTGCTGCTGCTGTAACTACTACTGCCTCAGGAACCAAGAGCCTTAAACGCTCGGATAATTCTCGTAGCATGGGTACATTGCCGGGTGCCGTACCAATCCCAAGACCTACAAGGGCTGAAAGATTGCGTCGGAAGGCTCGTGAGCTTCAAAATCAACAGCAGCAAGGTAATCACGTTCTCGTGCGCTCAACTCCCCATAATATATTTTCTAATTTAATCATTGATACCCCAACTTTTGTTTCGTTACATATTAGTATTTTTTAACCCTTTGCGGTTGGTGGGGGTGGGACGGTTTAAATTCAAATATTCCGCAGAGCAGAATCGTTGTCGCGATAATAATCGTTTGACATTTTCAGCTAACATTTTTCTGTTCGCATCCTAATATCGACGTACTTAAGTGGAAAACACATTTATGATATGTTTTTCACTGAACGCATATATGCATCGGTTGTCCGCAAAGGGTTAATTCGATTCGACGTTATAATTTCTTTTTTTTTTATACGGAAAAAAGGAAAACGAGTTTTTTTTCTCTCTCTCTGTTTCTCCTTCGGGGATTTTTTTTTTTTTTTTTTTCTATTTAGAATAAAATTTATTTTAACGATCGCGGGAGTTGAGTGCGCGCCCTTGCATGTACGAAAGATGGAGCCGTTGTAAATCAATAAACAATGATCGAACGAGGTTGCCCTGCATTTCTACTCTATTCTGCTATCTATATCAATTTATCTATTTGTTCATCTAATAATTTTAACTTTGTGACACGCTCTAATAAGAAGATGTCTTCTATTTCATTGCTAAGTACAACTTTCGTTTATATCTTTCTCTCTCTCTTTCTCTTTCTATTTCTCTCTTTCTCATGCTCATACATCAAATGTAATAATTATCGTGGAACCAAGAAAAAAGAAATAACGCAATAACACCAAATGCTTGTTGCACCATTTGTTTGAATATTGATTGACATTGCGCTCCTATTTAAGACACCCCCCACCAAGTTCTCGTCAGCTTTTTCAATGCCAGCGTGGTGAAGGTATGCTATAAACATTCGTATATTTGGTAAGCTGAACATACTTTTATATTTCAAATACTAATTTTTCTATCTTTTTCTCTCACACTATCTGTCTTTCTATCTATCTTTCTTTCTTTCTTTTTTTTTCTCTCTCTCTCTCTTTCTTTTTTATTCTCAGAATGTGACATTCTGCGAGGTAATAATACGTATATGTTAGAAAATAATCGATCGACTACACTTGATACCGTTCTCTGAAGCAAATGCTGACACCTCAACTCTCTCCGTGGCTACAGATATCTCTTTCCCTTTATTTCAAATGTTTACACTCTTTCAAGTTGATTGAGATTCCATGACGTCGTGTCATCGACCACATGATTGCATTCCGTGACGGCAATAAAGTAGTATCAAATTCTTAATGATTTTTGAAATAACTATTCTAACGTATCACTATTTCGTAATGCGTTTGTGTGTGTGTGTCATCGAACTTGACAAAATTTTCATTAAAAATGACGCGATATAATTTTAAACATTTTATTTTTTTTTTCCTTCTCAAATGCATCTTTGGCCTTGACACGTACGTCATCTTTTTTTTTTTTTTAAATTAAAACTAACATATACGTATGTATGTATATGTTACCGTCAAAGCCGGAAATCAGTCATTGCTAGTAATTCCTCGGCATTACTATGAATGCGAAGAGCCTTCAGACGAAGTCGGAAATTGAAAAATTCTTCCAGTGTAAAGTTCTGAAATGTCAGAGAATGCAATACTGTAAATTGTGCATCTTTGCAATTTCTAGTATAAAAAATGTGTATCAAAACTTTTCAAAGAAATTGCAAAGATGCACAATTTACAGCATTGCATTCTCTGACATTTAATGAACTTTACATGCTAAATTTATAAATCGATATGGTATTCTACGCGTTGACAAAAGAGTGTACTTTAATTTAATATAAGTTTCATCAAAATTTATTCACTTTTAGCATAAAAAATATTTACCAAATTCTTTAAAAAGTCTTATTTCCGACTTCGTCGGAAGGCTATTTGCATTCATAGTAGTGCCGAGGAATTACTAACAATAACTGATTTTCGGCTTTAACGTTAACATATATATTGTATAAATATTGATTTGTATATTTTAGTGTGCAATATCCGATTTTAATTAATTTTTTATTTAATTATCTCTCTCCATGCATTATTTTCTCTTTCTCATTATCTTTTCTTTGTTTGTTTTATAATAATTTTTATTCCATTTTTTTGTTTTATTTATATCATTACTTACACTTTGTTTTGCGATAAATAATAAAACGTTTGAAAACAAAACTAAAAAAAAAAAAAAGAAAAAAGGGATAACATGCTCGAACATATTTGGGCTTATTTTTCGTTTTTGTTAATAATCGTTTGAAATTGACAGACATAACAATTTCGAGGAACGATAAATTACAACGTTACATAAGGTTGTAAGTAATACAGGAATAATTTTCGATTACACCATTATCTTTTTTCTTCTTCTTTTTCTTCTTCTTCTCCGTTTTTTTGGACAGTTTACTTGAATAAATAAGTTCATTCTTTTTTTTTT